CATTCTCTGGTGCTCTTGTCCTAGCTGTCTGCCTTCCCCTTGCCCTGCACCCCTGCCTTCACCCCTCCCCATCAGCCCCACAACCTAATCTTTCAGGTGACTTGCCTTGGTGTGTGTGCAGAGATAGGAGAGGCACAGACAGGACGGGCTCGGTTTCCCCAAGATTTCCTAGGCTCGGCCCCTCTGTGTTCAGAGGAAGTGACGTGGGGGGCTGGCATGTACTCGGTTTCTCGGTCTGTAGCACTGGCCACCCCGGGGTTGCTGGGAGGATGCCATTCGGAATGTGTGCGAAGTGCCCAGCCCAGCCCTGGCACACGGTTCACACGCAATGAATGGCATGATCATTATGCACGTCTGAGCCCGCAGTCCCCAAGGCGGTCCGTGTCTTATGTGAAGTTCTGGTTTTACCGTTAATGAGCTGGTTGGCCTCAGCCTTCCTTCTTCCCATCGAAGGTTGCTGGAAGAGCCCCTGAGCTAGTGTATTTGAAGCTGCTGTTTAATAATTATTGCTACCATTTGGAGATGTTTTCTAGGTATTTCGTACACATTATTTCACATGATGTTGGATGAGAGACTACATATTCAGAGAGGTAAAGCAACATTCTCAAGGTCACACAGCCTCAAGGGATAGAGCTGAGATTAAACCCAGGACTTTCAGACCCCAAAGCCGGTTTCCTAACTGGGGAGACAGGACCCCACGAATCCCCAGAGTTTGCATGGAAAATGCTGTGTGTTACATTTTTCTTTGGAGACAGTTTCAAACCTTTTAATCAGGGGTATGATTTTTATTTATTTACTTTTTGGGGAATATTCATGAAATGTCTAAAAAGTAATTACTGCTTTCGAAGATAATATCAAATGTTGGCTTCGGTATCATCCTAAAAAGTTAAAGGTGTGCCTCCAACACCCCAACTTTCTGGTTTTAGGCCAGGTATTAGGCACCAGGTATTGTTTGGACTGTGTTTGAGTATTAGTCTGATCTCATAGAGACGGGTGGAAATGTGCAGACCAAGAAGGCGGGCAGACGCCGGCCCTCCAGCCCGGCCCCTCCCTCACACCTGCCGTCATGAGCTGTCAGATTGAGGCACAGCACTGGGGGAGGGGGACTTGGGGTAAAATGGGCTCCCAACCCCAGGCTCCTCCTCGGGAACCTTCGCCAGGGGAGAACAGAAGGAAAGCGAGGGCGAGAGCAAATGGTGTTTGGGAAGGACCGCTGGTTCAGCGTGGACAGCGCCTTCAACAGGAGACACAGCCCACACCCCGAAATGGTTAAATGGAATTCCAAGATCTTGGGGCGGGAGGGCGGTGGAAGGGGGGAAGAGAAATAGGAGCGAGAGGGAGAGAATTGTGCTGGCGATGCCTTGGGATTTATTTATCGTGCTCGCTGTTGATTAAGCCCGCTCAGCAGCAGGCGCGGGGCTGGTAAATACACAGGCTGATTCATTAGTTTCTGACCATCTGCTTCCCGGGCCAGGGGGGCGGGGGGGGCCAGTGGGCCCTCCAGGTTATGGCAGCGTGGTGTCGGCAGCCGGGCTGGAGCCCCCGTCCCCTGACAGAGCTGGCCATGTCAGTCTTGGTGGTGACAGACAGGCCAGCACAGTTGTGCAGGATCCCTCGTCCTGTGGTGGGGACCACCAAGAGGCTAGGCAGGGTGAGGGAAGGTAGGGCAGGGGGATGAAGAAGGACCGGGGAAAGGTGAGGTGTGGGTGATTCACAGAAGTCAGGGGTTGGCAGGAATAATATCAGCATTCAACATGAGATTTATTAATAGTAATCCAATTGTCATTATATTAATAACTAATTAATATGATGACAGTCATAACTATAATTTGGTGAGTGGCTACTGAGGTCCAGGCCCTATACAGAGGTTTTACCACATTGTCCCAGATAAGCACACTGATGTCACATGACGGATGACAAAGGAACTGGGTTTAAATGTTGAGTCAGGCAAGGAGGGCTTCCTGGAGGAGGTGCATGGGGGAGGGCTCTGAAAATGCTGAGGAGAGAGAGTGGCTGCAGGAACACAAGCTCAGAGGTGAGAGAGGATGAGGCAGCCAGGGAAAAGGCGCCTTCGGTGCTGGATTGATAGGAGTTATCCAGGTGGGCAAAGAAGCATGTTGTCTAGTACCCGTGTCTTCGGAACCAGGCTGGAGGAGGAACGCTCCAGACAGAGCTTCTGGGGAAATCATCAAAAACTTGCAATTCAGTCCTGCCCCTCTGAACCCGTCCTCCTACCCTGACCTTCCCCTCGCCCCCAGCTTTGGGATGAGGCATGTATTCGTTTGCTAGGGCCCAGGTGGCATAAACAACAGAAATCTATTTGTTCATGGCTCTGGAGGCTAGAAGTCTAAGATCCAAGTTTGCTTGACCCTTGAAGACCAAGGTGAGTCTGGTTTCCTCTGAGGCCCCCTCCCCGGGGCTGGCAGATGGCCGCCCTCCTCCTGCTTCTTCACAATGGTTTCCCGCTGGGTGCACTCGCCTCTGGTGTCTCTCTGTGGATCCAGATTTCCTCTCTTTACAGGGACCCCAGTCATGTTGGATCAGGCCCCACCCTGAGGGCCTCATTTTAACTTAATCTCCCTTTAAAGGCCCTCTCTCCAACCAGTCACATTCCCACATCCTGAGGTTTAGGGCTTCAACATACGAATTTCGAGGGAGACACAATTTAGTCCCTAACAAGGTGCCGGGGGATTGGAAGGGGACCTGGGGGGTGAGAAGGGGGAGATTGCTGGGTGGTGGGTGGGGATGCCAGCCTAGGGGCAAACTGTGTTCTCCTGCCCCCAGTGTCCCTGTGTGAGCTCTCGCACATTTCCATCCCAAATGGCATGACCATGACCGGAGCTGATTCCGCCTCTGGACTGAGTGCCCTTTGCTGCTGTCGGCAGAGGGACTGGGGCGGACGTTGTCCCCCACCCCACGGGCAGGCTTGCTTCCTCTAATCACCAGGCCTGGCCTCTGCAGGCCATTGAGCCATCCCCAGGGGCCTCTCAGGCCCTTCCCATTCGGGGTGACGGCACAGGGTCACTCCGCTGGAGCTGGAGGAAGCTGGGACCCACAAGCTGAGTCAGACCGTCTCCCTGCCACGTTGCATGTGAGGACACTAGAGTTTCAGGACAGCCCCGAGGTTGTCCGGGACAGGAACAGGTTCATCCTCAAACACCACCCACTGTCAAGGAGGCCTGGGCCAGTCCTGCCTAGTCCCGGGCCTCCAGCAGTTTCCCCATCTGCTGAACGAGGGGTTGGACTCAGCGGTCAACCCCTTCCAACCCGAGGTTTGCGGGTCCTGAGTAATCAGCAGGCCTGGGCCAGGTTTGGTGGGGGGTGGCACCATAGGGGACCAAGGACAGAGCTATTTTGGTCAAAGAGGGCTTTGTGGAACCTGCCTCAGTAAAACCCTGGGCCAGCCTGCGCACCGAGGACCCCTGGGCAGGCTGGGAACGTGTCCTTCACAAAGGGTATCAGCCACCACGGCCGGAGGCCACCATGGTAATGCCCGCGGGGGCATCAGCTCAGCCGCCCAGGAGGCAACGCGCCCACTCCCCTGTGGGAGCAGAGTGGCTCATTCTGGAGTGAGAGACTTTAACTCAGATCCAAGCTGTTTGGTCTCTGAGCAAACCAGAGACCTGAAATATTCATCACAAAGGGATGTGAGTGGTCTGGGCGCTGTGATTCTTCGTGACAGCTTTTTTTTTTTTTTTTTTTTTTTAGTAGACTATGTTTTAGAGCAGTTTTAGGCTTACAGAAAATTGAGCCCACAGGGGCGGGAGTTCCCAATGCCGCCTTGCCTCCCCATGAACACTTCCCTCTGCTATTCACATTTGCACTGGCTTGGTACATGTGTTACAGCTGATGAGCAACATCGACAGTCATTGTGAACCAGAGCCCAGAGTTACATCAGGGGTCCCTCTCAGTGTTGTCAGCTCGGTGGGTTTGGACCAAAGCACAGCGTCCTGCCTCCACCATAACCGTGTCACACAGAATCGCTTCATTGCCCTAGAATTCCCCTGTGCTCCAACCCGGGCAACTAGGCACTGGTGACATTTCCAGGCCTCCGGGTGAGTTCATGCAGTGGACAGACACGGGGAATGGATCTGAACCGCCATGGAGGGGAGCCACGGTGGGTGCCCGCTGGGCCCCGGAGTGGGCTGCCAGCCTTCTTGGGGCAGGGTGGGGGGAGAGAGTGCGAGTGGGGGCTGTGCTCTGCCTTCTGCAGCCAGCATCCCCCACTGAGCCCGCCAGGCCTGTGCCAAGGCCCTGGAACGACTCGCCACAACGATGCACCCCCGTGAGAGGAGGCTGTAGACACTCAGCATCCTTCCAGCACGCCCAGACTACGCGTGAGGTGGGCACACGGGCCATGGGGCAGAGGCGGGTGTGACTGCCGTGCTCTGCAGCAGAGGCCGAGGCGTGGCTCCCAGCGCTTGGTGGGTGCCTTGGGCCAGGGCCCCCACCTTCCCGAGCCCGGGTTCCTTCATCTGGAGCGCGGAGCTAATACTCGCATTCTGTGTTCGGAAGTGAGATAGCAAACGGGAGAAGTGACACGAGGAGGTCTGTAACTGATAGACATCGCGGGCGGAGACTCCGACTTCCTCTCCCACCTCATTCCTGTTGCTATAATGCTATTGGTTTAAAGGGCCAGAAAGGCGTCTTGGCGTAGGAGATGTTTAAAGAGTTAAGAATGTGAGTAGGAATTTTCAAGGCAGACGGAGAGTGGAAGGGCACATGGAGGAGAGGGAATATGGTCTGCAAAGGCTCAGAGGCGCAGACAAGCTGGGTGTGGAGGGCAGGAGTGCTCTGTGGGCCGGGCCCCAGGAGAACAGTGGCTGGAGGTATGGTGGAAGGAGAGCACTAAAGAGTCGCATTAAAGAGGCGGGACTCTACCTGCAGGCCATGAGGAACCATGGGGGCCTTGGGAGCAGGTGACTAACACCCGCCCTTCTTGATTGTCTGTATTTGGAGTAGGGGCAAGTGTGCGTTTTCTTGGGAAGCCATAGACTTGCATGCCTCTGTGTGCTTTGGGGGAATGGGTACAAATCACCAGCCCAGCGGAGGTTCCTGGTGCCCAGACCCCAGAGCACGTGCTCCGCCACTTCCGGGCAGGCGCCCGGGGCGGGCGCGCAGTCGGGGCCAGGCCGGGCGGAGTCTCCCGGGCCCCGCCCCCGGCCCCGCCCCCCAGCTGCCAGCGCCCACCCTTCCCTCTCCTCCTCCCGCAGGAGAACCCCTACCTGTGCAGCAACGAGTGTGACGCCTCCAACCCGGACCTGGCCCACCCGCCCCGGCTCATGTTCGACAAGGAGGAGGAGGGCCTGGCCACGTACTGGCAGAGCGTCACGTGGAGCCGCTACCCGAGCCCGCTGGAAGCCAACATCACCCTGTCGTGGAACAAGAGCGTGGAGCTGACGGACGACGTGGTGGTGACCTTCGAGTACGGCCGGCCCACGGTCATGGTCCTGGAGAAGTCCCTGGACAACGGGCGCACGTGGCAGCCCTACCAGTTCTACGCGGAGGACTGCATGGAGGCCTTCGGCATGGTGGCGCGGCGCGCCCGCGACCTGTCGTCCTCGGGCGCCCACCGCGTGCTGTGCACCGAGGAGTACTCGCGCTGGGCCGGCTCCAAGAAGGAGAAGCACGTGCGCTTCGAGGTGCGGGACCGCCTGGCCATCTTCGCTGGCCCCGACCTGCGCAACATGGGCAACCTCTACACGCGGCTGGAGAGCGCCAAGGGCCTCAAGGAGTTCTTCACCCTCACGGACCTGCGCATGCGGCTGCTGCGCCCCGCGCTGGGGGGCACCTACGTGCAGCGGGAGAACCTCTACAAGTACTTCTATGCCATCTCCAACATCGAGGTCATTGGCAGGTAAGGCCTGCTGGGGGGCACTGGGACGTTACCTGGGTCCTGGGATGTCGCCTGGGTCCCGGGATATTACCTGGTACTCAGGATGTTACCTGGTTCCCAGGATGTCACCTGGGTCCCGGGATGTTAGCTGGTACTCAGAATGTTACCCGGGTCCCAGAATGTTCCCTGTTTTCTGGGATTTTACCTGGTTCCTGGGATGTTAGCTAGTACTCAGGATGTTACCTGGTTCCCGGGATGTCACCTGGTTCCTGGGATGTTACCTGGTTCCTGGGATGTTAGCTAGTACTCAGGATGTTACCTGGTTCCCGGGATGTCACCTGGTTCCTGGGATGTTACCTGGTTCCCAGGATGTCACCTGGGTCCCGGGATGTTAGCTAGTAC